AGGAGGAAAGAAAGTCAAAAAGAGAAAAGAATGACCAAAGGAGACCAGAATAAAGGAAAACATTTAAAAGTAAAAGTAAAAAATTAGTATTAATAAAGAAGCAAGAACTGAAGGAAAAAAGAGCAAAATAGAACAGAAAAGCAATTAAGGAAGTAAACAAAAAATCTCCACATATCTACTGTACCATGGAGCCAGAGTGTCCACACAGCGTCCTTAGAGATGTAGTCCTAGTCCCATTGCAGGCAGCCAACCCCCTGCCCTCCCTGGACTGCTTAACTACCTGCTCAGGAGTGGGCTGGGCAGTCCATCTCTCTGACCTCCCTCCTGGTCGCAAGGTGGGCTTTGGGCAGGGCCAATTGCTGACCTTTGTCTCTGTCCCAAGATCCAACCACCTCAATTTGGGATGGCAAGAATGTGTAGTTTGCCCCATGCGCATTTCTCTGGACTGTTCTCAGTGACCTCCCACACCTCTCACCGCACAGCAAGTCCTACACACATCTCTGTACTCTGCCTACAGGGACCTTCCGCCCAATATATTACCAGAAGCCCTCTGCCCAGGTGACACTTTGTTCCTTCCTCCTCAGACCCTGATCCCTGTCTCAAGTGCTCTGCTTTTCAACATGAAACTTGGTGCAGTCTTCAGGCTCGGCAGGGGCCTCCTTTGCCCCTCGGGATGGTGGGCTGGGCAGGATTTCATGCTGTCTCAGATCTCTCAGGTGGTTGAGCTGGAAAATGCCCTCTCTGGTCTGGCTCAGTCTCTCCCCCTCCTTCCAGTCCCCAGGAATTCAATATGCCACTTCCTGTCAAAGAGCTTGTGCTGCCCAGTTTGTGGGGTCCAACCTTTCTCTGACTTGGGCAAGGGTTGCCTCTTGTCTACGCTGAGCAGCGGGCACTGTACAGGATACCACAGGGATCCAGTGTCTCCCATTGTTTGGGAGGCTAATAGGAGGAGGCTCCTGCTTTTGTATTTCCGGCTTTCTGTTTCTGTCCTTGTAGCTTGTGGCTTCACTGGGTCCCTAACTGCAGTTAACTCCATCCTGGGTTTCCTCTTCTAGGTGGGAGGAGAGTATGTAGGGAGCCTATGCATTGTTTCCTTCCCTCAAGCTGTTGGAGCCTCTCCCAAGATGATCTGTCCACTACATAAAGAGTGTGGGAGAGCTGAGGATCAAGGGTGGCCCCGCTTCCCTTTTTTAACAACCCAGATAATTGATAGGATCTAGAGGATTTTTCCTTCAGGTTAATTTTCTATATCTGGGGGTGTTTGCCTACCCTATTTCAGAATACCTGCATTATCCAGTGTCTCTCCAAGCTTCTCCAGTGCAACTTCCTCTCTAATTGGCTGTGTTGGAATCCCCCTTATCCAGCACAACTCATAATAGCTACATCTCAGAAGCCTCCTATATGTCCACCAATAGATGAATGGATAAAAAAATGTGGCATTTACACACAATGGATTACTACATTGCTATTATAGAAAGGTAAACTTGAGTCATTTGTAGGAAAATGGATGTACCTTGAGACCATAAGGCTAAGTGAGCTAAATCAGATACACAAGCTTAAATATCATATGGTTTCTCTTATATGAGAAACTCCAATTATAAATAAAGAACAAAATAAAATACAGATACTAGGAAGAAGGAAGATAGATCTTTCTCAAGTAGTAAAGGAGTTTCAAGAGATGAAGGAAGCTGGAAGAGAAGGGAGGTAAAGGGAATGAAAACATGAACTAAAATGTGTTATGTACATGTACTAACTCCACATAAGGAATGTAAACATAACGTCCTGCAAACGTGCACTAATGAAAAATTTGCATGCACAATACATTGTTGTTGAATATAGGCACAGTTCACAACCATGGCATGGTGCAAAGGATGAGAGATCACTCAGAGTCAGCAACCAATTCAAACTCCAAGAAGACCCAGAGGGACTAGCCTTAACCAAGACCCCTCAGGGTGACATAGTCTCATGAAGACAGCCCCAAGATGAAGCTTCTGTGGCTTTATATTGATAGAAAGAGAAAGCAAGGATAAAGGGCTTGGTTCAGGAATTCATGTAGGGGAAAGACAGAAGGACAAGGTGGACAAGGTGGACAAGGTGGACAAGTTCAAGGTGGTCTGTTACATGACTGACCTTAGAGCCAATCCAAGTAATAAATTGGAATATGGGGAGAATGAAGACATTCATTCCTTAAGGCAATGTGTTTTGATCCTACTTGGACTTGTGGCCCTGTAGGCTATCTTTTCATCTCTCACCATGCATTCTGGGAGTTTGGGGGTATGTCTCCAAAAGTCCCTTACCTCTGCATGTCTATCTCATACATACCTCTGACCTGTCTACCCACATGCTGCACAGCAAATCTCTAGAGGTAATTCATCTTGTTAACTTTACACTTCCAGTTATTAACTCCCCATTTCCCATTTACTGTCTTTTTTATTTCTTTCAGCAATATTTTATACTTCTCAATGTATAATTCTTTCACTTCTTTGATTAACTTTATTAGAAAATATTTTATTCCAGAGCTGGAAATATAGCTCTGTGGTAGAGCATTTGCCTCACATGCATGAAGCTCTGGGTTAAATCTCTAGTACCACAAAATATTACCTATAAATGGCATTTTTAAAAATTCTGTTTTGTACAGTTCATTGTAAGTGACCAGAAATACAACAAACTTTTATATGTTGATTTCATATCCTGTATCTTTACTTTAGACATTATTTGAGATAACATTTCTGTTTGTATGTAGTGACTTTGAACTTTCTACATTTAAGATTAAGTCATCTCTAGAGATAATTTTAATTTTCCTTTCATATTTGGATGACTTTTATTTCTTTTTCTTGCCTAATTGCTCTGGCTTGAATTAGGAGATTGAATCAGTGATCAAAAACTTCTCAACAAAGTAAAACCTAGGAACAGATGTCTCTGCTGGTGAGTTGTACTAAACATTTAAAGAAGAATTAATACTAATCCTTCTTAAACTTTCCCAAAACATTGAAGAAGCAAAATGACTTCAAAACTTATTTTCTGGGCCAACATTACCCTCATAATAAATCCAAACAGATACTACAAAAGAAGAAAATTGTAGAACAATATGCCTGAGAAACACAGCTATAAAAATCCCCAAGATAATGATAGCTAACCAAGTTCAAAAGCACATTAACATACACCATGATGAAGTGGAATTTATGCCAGGAATGCAAGAATGGTTCAACATATGCAAGTCAGTTAATGCAATATTCCATATTAACAGAATGAAAGAGAAAACTTAAGTGATGATCTTAACAGATGTAGTGAAAATATTCCACAAAATTCATTACCTCTTCACAATAACATCTTTAAACAAACTAGCTATCAAGAAAAATTACCACAACGTAATAAAGCACCATGTAAAAAGCCCAGAGATAGCATGATACTTTGTGAGGAAAAAGTGAAAATATTTCTTTAAACATCAGAAACAAGGCAAGGATGTCATCATCTTCTACCAATTTTATTCAACATAGTTCTCAAAATCCTAGCCAATTAAAAAATCTTTCTTATTGATAGGAATTGAATTTTAACCATTATATTCACAACTATTTCTATTCTTCATACACTTTTCTATTGATACAGCAACAAGTATGATCCTCTATTAGGAAAATTCAAATTATGTTCCTTGTAGCAGCTACCCTGAACCCTTAACACACATTACATTTACCCGCAACATTTAAAATCCAAATGCTCAGGCCTAGCCTCTAGTCAATTAAATAAGAATTTCTGGGTTCTAGCCACCATCTTAGAGTAGTTAATTCATTAAAAGCAAAAGTTTTACGATGGACAATACTCCTGAAATGTTGATATGTCTGAGAATTGGCTGAGGACCTTGTTAAAATGAAGGGTATTATTTCATAGATTAAGGTAAGACCAAAGATTCTGCATTTCTTAGTGGAGATAATGTTGTGGATGCTGGGATCATGCTCAAGTGACATAAGATCCCTATGTTCTGGTTCCTCTGTTTTTTGTCTTATTTTCCCTACTGCTTTCTCTCTTGCTCACCACACTTCAACATCTGCCATACCACAAGCAAGCCACCCACTCACATGCCCTTCTCCATTCCCCTCGCCAGCATCCCCTTTTACTAGCTGCTGCAAGTTACCCAGGACCACTGAAGAGGTGAGTCCTAGGCCCTTTCTACATCTTATTCTTAGTAATCTATGCACCAGTTCATCTCCGTGATTACTATGCAAAATTAATTATATATTCATCAGTGGAGTTCATGTACATTTCTTGTCCTCTGTCCTAACTCGGCCAAAATATATTATTGGTGTCAGAATGATTCGGTAAAATAAATAGACCAAATATTGTCAACATCATGTCTTCCTTTATATTTTGGGGAAAAAAAATCACAGAATTTTCTGAACCCAGTGTCCTTCTGGAATAGTTTCAACTTCCATAAATGAAACTCTTTTTCTCCACTACTTGTATAATGGCTTGACCTTCTTGTTAAATATGGGCAAGGCTGCCAAATCCTCAGGGTCTAGCCAGCTGTACTTTCTGCACTTGTGCTTCTTGGTAAGATTTTACAACACTTGCATATCTAAACATTGGAAATGGAATTCTTCACTACACACGCATTTTACAAATACTACTTCACATGACCTGTTATCTTCTCAAAAAAATAGATCTTAATGTATGCTTTTATCTAATATTTTATAGTTATAATACTTCAGGGGAAAAACAAAATACTGAGATTTAATGAATTTTCCCTACCCTACAAAAACACTTTAGTAGTATCATCTTAATATGCAGTGCAAAAATGTATACACCAAAAGTCTGTTATATTTCAAATAGTGGTTGTAGGGAAACAAAGAATCAATAAGGGCTATGTTCTTTACAGTTAGATTGTGCATTTTAGGCAAAATGTCTTAAGATTTAGGTGTATTTTACCCATAAAAACTTACACTTGCTATCTAACTGTGAGCACAGAGAGAAAAACTATTACTTGCATCTAGCTAGAGAAGTTAAACTCACCAATAGGTTCAGTTAATTCTGAGCACTTAATTCACTTTTCTTATTTGCTGGAGAGATGCTCATCAAGTCTATAAGCAGCAAAGTTTCAGTAATAGGTCATCTGCAGTTTAATTCCGGTGATTTTCCCTGAAAGTTTGTAGAAAGAAGAATTTAAGTATTCTATTTTCTTTTCTTGAGATCTACACAGTCTACACTGCTCCAATCCCACCTCCTGGGCATCTCTAGCTCCATGAAAAGCTCTGTAAACTCTGAGTCAGCTGTACTGACGGCATTCCCTACATGTTGTGTTACTTTTTTAACCTCAAAAAAGGTAAAACCACAATTGGAACTAGTAATACCAGCCCTGAATTAATAAATAACTAATGAAGAAAAAATTAAGATCTGAGAGCACCTGCAGTGACAAATCACCCCACACAGAGCAAGGATGAAGGGAAAGGATGTTATGAGAAATTACAAACAGAGGGAAGAACTATTTTTAAATGAAGCTTATGAAACACCTTATAACTCACTTCAATTGCTTCTAATTTTAGATAAGAAGTCAGCAGGAGATCCATGAAAGTTTTGTTCAAAACTTACGTGAGAATTAAGTCCAATGAAGCTGGACATGTTCTATCTTTCACTTGAAAAATGGCTGAAGCCATACATATCCACATTTATATTTGATTATATGATTCCCATCATGGTAGAACATCAAAGCAAAGAAGTAGAAACAATTCTCAGGCTCACTATATTCGGGGAGGATAGGTACAATTAAGAGAGGTCAGTACTGATTTGTAACCATTAACCATAATAACACACTGAAAAACAGCATCATTCGCTAATGATGAGCACACACCCTTAGACAAACTTCAAGGACTGAATGCTAATATGCCAGGCTTCAAATAATTCCACCCATCTGAGAAAAATCTTGGTAGGTCAAGAGAAGTTAGCTTTCCTCCTACTGAAGGTTCCAGTTCATGGAGGATGTGTGGAGAACCCTGTATACAACTTTCACAGAATAAGTACTGGAGATCAAACTCGGGACCTTGCACTTTTGAGGCAGGCAGAGGCACCACTGAGCTAAATCCCCGGCACAAGGAGGGATCTCAAGAAGGAGAGCCCAAACTTCACCCCGGAGCTGGAGGGGGATTCCTTTGTAAATTCTTCTGTGAAACTTACCAAAAGAAAAGGAAACTGGAGATTACAAACCAACAAAAGTTTAGAGGGGTCCCTTCAATTGATGTGATTAATAATCGTTAGTTTTTATTTTCAGAGTATTCATGACAATTAATTAAATAATGGTCCCATGCTATCACAGGGCTAAAATTTTTACATGAGGCAAAATGCGAAGGACTGAAAAAGAAATGTAAAAGGGATGTCTCTAGAATTCAAGTTGTAGGAGGTAATGAAACAAAACACATTCAAAGAATTAAATTATAAGATTCTAAATATGAATCTTAAATTCAAGCTTATTGGTTTTCAAATACAGTTAGCCCTTCATATCCATGGATTCCATATCTGTGGATTCAACCAAACACTAGTCAAAACTATCTGAAAAGGAGCTATGTCTTTCTACAAATGTATGGACTTTTTCTCCTTTGTCATTACTCTCTACACCACACAGTATAAAAATTATTCATACAGAATTTACATTGTGCTAGGTATTATAAGTAGTCTAGAAATGAAAAGTATATGGCAGGATACTTATAGGCTATATGTAAACACTATGCCATTTTATGTAAGGGACTTTAGCATCGGCAGAATCTGGGATCCTTGGGGGTCCTGGAACCAATCCCCCAGACACTGACAGACAACTGTACTTATACAATTACATGACTGACTTACTATGGTTATATATTTTTTGTCATAAATGTCCAACTATCATAGAAGTTTAAGAAATTTTGTATTAAAAGAAGAATTATATCAAAGCAAAAAAACAAAAAAAACCCAGCATCATTCAGCCCTTATCCATCCCACAAGCTCTCCTTGGAAGTTTTCAAATCTTGGTGTTAATATTTGTTGACAGCACATGACTATATTAGGGTCCATCCTGTGAATTAGTTTTTGAATTTCAATCTTGCTGATACTCAAATGAAAATTCCATATTTAACCCAGTAAAGTTGGATGGAGCGATAAGAGCCAAGGACACAGTTTGATTTTTTAAGTCATCACCACCTATGCCCACTTCCAGGGAACCATGAAATAACCGAAGCTGTTTGAATGTGATCAACACCTCTCTACCTCCTACCAAAACTAGGACACAATCGACTGGTTTGGAACTTGTTATTAGAAGTAGTGATTCAGTGTGTAGGAATTAGGCTAACATTACAATAATATAATTAGAGCCAGTCCTAAGGAAAATTGTGTAACAAAGAAAAAAAGAAAGAAGGTTCTATGTGGTCATGGCTATGGAGGAACTGGATAAAGCTGGGTTGAATCTGTCTCAAAACTTCTGCCACATAATACATTTGATGGAGAATCTCTCCAAGGCTCTATTTCTTTCTTAAGAAAAATTATTATTTTTATCTCTAACAGGTAAGCTTATTAAGATGAAAATAAAGATGTATATAAAAGTCCTATGGTGAACTAGACACCGTAAATATCTGTGATTCCTCTTCTTTCAGCCCATGCCCACCACATCCCTTAGGCCCTGTCTACTCCCTCTTTTAGGATGTCCCAAAGAAGCCCTTAGCTTCCCAACATTTTTATCTATTAGTCCTAGCTATTTATTATATGTCATGTTAGGATCTAATCAACAAAGTTTTACTATTCAGGCATGATTATAATGCGATTATTTTTCTTCAAGAAAAATTTATTTTACTTAACAATAATCCCTCTTTGTAAATTAAGGAAGTCCAATCATTGAATCCCAAATATTTGTCAAATCTAGTATTCTAAGTGCCAGGCCTCATTCTCTAATACAGAGTTCAGCTAACTTTCCTATAAAGGGTCAGAGAATGAGTAGTTTTGGCTTTAGAGGCCATGTAGTCTAAACTGCAATTATTTTGGGCCACCACTGCAGCTGGACAGGAGCTAGAAACAATGTGCAAAATATGAGCATGGCTGTGTTCTAATAAATTTTATAGACTCTTAAATTTCGCGTCATTTTTATGTGTCAGAAAATATTATTATGCTTTATTGGCAGGGTTAAATAATTTAAAAAGGGAAACACCTTTCTGAGTTCTAGAGCCTTACAAAAAATTTCCTGGTGAGAAGGACTTGGCCCAATGGCTTTAATATGCTTCCCCATGCTCTAGCGCTCAAAACAATTGCCAGCCCACTGAGACAAATGCACTCTGAACTTATGGTTTCTCAGTATTAAAGGAAGGAGAGTAAGAAGAGATAGAAAAAAGGAAGAGAGGGAAAGAAGGAGAAAGGAAGAAAACAGGGAAAGAATGAGCAAAAGAAAGGTGAGAAAAATTAAAAGAGGGACAGAGGGTGAGAGAGGAGAGGCAGGAGGAAATAAAGCCTAGTGGTCACCTAAAGCCATAATCTGGATCACAATAAACTTGACTTGGTTTTAGTCACTGACTGAACTGCTTTTGAGAGTAGTAAATGAGTCTTATCTGCCTTCTTTTACACTCTTTGTATCCAAGCAATTCCACTTACATTTGCTGTTCTAGAGTCCCTGGGCACTTAGCACTCAGCGTTATTGAAAGCCTCTGTCCTCTTGCAAAGTGAAGTGATTGCAGACAACCTGGAAAGGTGTAATATCACAGTTCTGAGGACTAGCTAAAACTTTGGTAAAATATTAACATATACACAGTTTACTCATCTTTAAAGTAGGCTAATATCGGTAGACAAAACAACCCATCTGACCAGACCGGAGGAGGCCTGCTGAGTCTCAGCTCTGCTGGTCCCTAATTTATGAAATTTTATTGAATCTTAAATGAGAGAATTATACATTTAAAATTTCTAGAAGAGTAGACTTACTTAATAAAGACCATCACTATGCTCTTGTTAAAAGTACCAGAAAAATCCTATATACTAAAGCGAGTTTCAATTGTAGTAGAATTACTGCACTGAGAAAGAATACTGAATATTTTCCAGGTATACTGCCACTAAATTAGCTGATAAGCAAATGAAACTTGCATTTCTTGAAAGAGTGCTTATACTAATAGAGCTTCCAGGGATGGGGAAGTAAATTACTTGGAGACATATTGGTGGGTCACTTTTCATAAGACATGCAGAGGAGGGAGGAAATATCAATGCCTGCCAATTGCTTTAGATTTTTATCAAAATTGGCAAGGAATTCTTACTTAAACAGAAAGAAGAAAAACATCAAGTAAATTTGTGGTTTTTAAAGGGAGAGAATGAGAGCAAAGACAATCTTGTTCATTTTCTTGGAAGCTTAATAACTAATTTGGCTCTTGGTTTGTATTAGAAAAAAAAGTGCTAGTTAAACACAAGGTAGTTCATGTCTGTGAGTCATAGGAAGTTCTGTAGTACAGGAAAATTATATCATGTAATTTTATGATCTGCTGGGCAGTAATTCCATTTAATAAAGACACAGATGTATACTTTGCCACATAGAGTAAAATTTTCAACTTTGATCAGTTTTTAGATTTTAGTTTTTCTGGCTTATTTCTCCTTTGCTTTTAGAGCAAATTTAACTTTCATAGCACACACAAAAAAACTATGAAAAAGCCACTTTACTTACTTCCCCTAAATTTGTGGCCCCCTCCTAGAGCTATAATGCATGCCAGAGGAGCAAATCAATTAAAGGATAGAGATTTTTAACCACTTGGAAAATTTCTTGGCTGTAAGTATTTAAATATTTAAAAAGCCAAAGACCAAATCTACAATTTAGGGAGGAAAGTAGTATCTTTTTACATTTTAGTGATCTACATAAAACTAAATAATATATCTAGCAAAAACTATTCTATATGTTAATTCTAAATTACTGGGATAAATAATATATTCTTTGTGAAAAGAAATATGTTTTCTCATCCAATGAGAAAACATATGAAGAAAAACTTCATAACATCAAAGTAAATTAAAAACATGAATAATTATATGACCAGGACTTTCAGTTTCACTTAGGGCATGTAAAAACCTTGAAAGTTCTCATCCCAATCTGTACAAATAAAAGGAAAACAAACTGAAAACTATTGGCTTTCTTGGATGCATAAGGCAGATTTCATGGCAAGCTGCCATTGAAAAATCTGGAGAAATAGGCAACTCCTGAAAATTACAGCTGATATCTGCTTACTCTGAGCAGAAGTTTTCTGGAGCCATAAACTGGGAGGGACACTTAAGTGACAACTGATAAATTCCTGGAGGCTGAGTGTAGACTGCCATGAAAGAGAGACACTCATGGGGGTCAAGGTCTTATTGGTGCCATACTTTCCTGGGCTTTATTTCCAGGAGATACCCTAAGTTCTCACTGTGAACACTGAAAAAAGATGGGTCTGACTGGGGTTATGCAAGAATAAATATGGGCTTTGTCCATGGCAAGGTGTACACTCCAGAAGAAAAGCCTTTATTGAAGCCTCTTCCTATGTGGAGAAGGTCATTTCTCTGACTTTAGCCCTCTCTAGCATTTCTGTCCAACCTAATTGGAAAAAGCTAAGAAATACTCAGGAAGATCACAACCCAAGGTGACAACCCACTAAAATACTGAGATTTAATCATAAGGTAATAGAATGCTTCCTCTCATGTATCTTATGCAGCACAACAAATCCTCTATTGAAAAAGCAAAGGATAGCACCTCAAATCAAAGAGTTCCAAGACACTAGCTGTACCAAAGATTGAGGTCCCAGGGAAGTCTAGAGGAGACAAAAACAAAGAAAGTAAGGGAATATGAAAACTCTGGTGCCTACAACGAAAAGAAACATTAAATACAACCGAAATTATACCCACATAACATAAAAACTCGTATTAGATGACTCGTTCACTCAGTTCCTCTGACTTGATACATTGTCTTTCTTTTAACAAAAAAAATCGAAGATATACAAATAAACAAGACAAAACGGTTTGAAAACAAAAAAAGCAGCAGAACCAGGTTTAGATAAATGACACAGATTTTAGGGTTAAGCGACAAAATTAAAATGAATTGTAATTAACATATTAAAACTATAATGAAAATTAAATGTGTACAAACAAATAGGTAATGTAAACAAAGAGATAAAGCTCAGAATTAATCAAAACAAAGTGTAGATACCAAAAAAACTCTAATCTAAATGAAGAATGGTTTTTTATATATATATATATCCTTTTATTGGTACATTTTAGTTATACAGTATAATGACATTCATCATTGGAAATTTGCACCTTTACATAATCTCTCTTGGTTCTTATATTTCCCCCCTTCCCCTGCCCTCCCTTCACCCCCTCCATCCCTCCCTATTTACAGAGACTTTGCTTTTTTTCATTTTCTCATATTAATTCCATTCCCTTCTTTCCTTTCCCCTAACCCTCCCACTTCCCCTTACCCTTTGGCCCTTTTCTTCCTATTTCACATTATATATTATACCTTTTAGTCCTTATTTACACTTTCAATTTCTCACACTAGAGAAACTATACAGTATTTACACATGTGTGTCCTATTTATTTCACTTAAGACTATCACCTCAATGTGCATCCATTTAGCTATAAATGTCTCTAATTTCTCATTTTTTATGGCTGAGTAGTACTCCATTTTATTATAAAACCACATTTTCTTTATCCAGTCTCCAGTTGATGGGCATTTGGGCTGTTTCCAAGTTTTAGCTATTACAAACTGTGGTGCTGCTATGAACATGGGTGAGCATATGTCACTGTGGTATGATTCTTTTAATTCTTTGGGGAAGATACCCAGCAGGGGAATAGCAGTGTCAAATGGGACTTCCAGTCCTAGTTCTTTGAGGTATAATGAAGAATGTTTTTGATGGTCTAATCAGTACATTGAACCACAGCAGGGAAAAGAAAGAACCAACAGAAATTTGCCAGAATGAGATGTAAAGGCATTGGGCAATAAGAGAACATTCAATCAGATCAAAATAAATGTAGAAATGTACCATATTCATGGATTGATAGACAGAATATTAAGGTATCAATTCCTCTCAACTTGATCTATTACTTCACCTCAATCCCAATTAAAATTCTAGCAAGCTATAGGCCTGGGATTTAGCTTAGTGGTTCCATTGCCTGCCTTGCAAGTACAAGATCCCAAGTTGGATCCCTGGTACCAAAAGAAAAAAATTCTAGCAAGCTATATTTTAAATATTGACAAACTAATTTTAAAGTTTTTATGGAAATAGAAAATGCTATAAATAATCATGGAGGACACATATTGCCCAATTCAAACAGTTGCTCTAAACTGGAATAATAAAGACAATGTGAAACTGTTGAAAAAATATACCTATAGATGAGTGACACAGAAAACTGCAGAAAGAAGCCCAGATAAATTAAGTTAAATAACCTTTGACAAAAGTGCAATAAAAAAACGATAAAAGATCGTCTTTCAACACATTTTACTGGAAAAATAAAAAACTATGACTAAAAAATTGAAAACATGGACAAACACCTTATATTCTTCATAAAAATTAACATGAAGGGATCGTCAATCTAAATGTAAAATTTAAAACTGTAAAACTTCTAAAAGGAGTCATAGAAGTAAATCTAAGTGGTTTTGAGTTTGGTGATTTTTTTAGACATAACAAAGAGAAAAGCATGGCTTACAAAAGAAAAAATTGACAAATTATGCTGTATAAAATTAGAGTAAACTGCCCTGTGAACTGCAATGGTAATGAAAAGATAAAATATAAACTAGAAGATGATTTCAAAAAAATACGTGGTAAAGTATTTGTTGCCAAATTACGCAAAGAACTATTAAAGTCAAATAAATTAAATAATAAAAAAATCTAAATAAGTACCACAGAAGGTACATAGATTGCAAATAAGTATACTAAAGATGCTCATGTCACCACCCAGACTCTTCCATCAAGTTTGGCTTATAGCATTCTAGGGTTTCTCTAGCTGGCATATCGAAACTATTCCAAACTTCTCTCACAAACCAGTTCCAAATACATCTCAACCACATAGTCAGGTATAGCTTAGTCACAGCAATGACCTCACTCTTGGAATCAATATTTGTCTTCATCACTTTCCTGTAATTGGAACAAAATATATGACACCTACAACTTCAATGAGGAGAGACAAGTTTCAGTCCATATTCAGCCAGCTCTAAGGCAGGAAGAGGATGGCAGAAGGGCATGGCAGAGGAAAAAGTGTTCAATTTAGGGTAGCCAGGAAGCAGAGAAAGAAGGGGAGAGTTGGGGCAAGAATATACCCTTCCACTTATCCACCTTCAACCAGGCCCCATCTCCTAACAGCATATTTAGCTACTGAACCCATCCATAGATGAGTCCACTGATCAGTATAACGTCCCCATGATCCCATCACATTCCAGACACACATAAGACTTTTGGGGGACATTTTAGATCTAAACCATAACACACTTTTACCATATAATTCAGTAATTGCACTCATAGATATTTAACCTGCTATTTTAAAATTTTCTGCCCACACAAAAACATCACTTCATTGCTCATGGCAGCTTTATTGATATTTGGCTCAAACTAAAAGAACGACTACATTCTTCAATAGGTAAATTAATAAACAGATCATATCACATCCATACAATAGGATAGTATTCAGTGTGAAAA